CCTTTGTTTTCTTCAAGGAGGTTTATTGTATCTTGTCTTATGTTTAAGTCTTTGATCCATTTTAAGTTTATTTTTGTGTATGGTGTAAGGAAGGGAGTGTTCTAGCTTCATTGCTTTACATGCTGCTGTCCAGTTTTCCCAACACCATTTGCTGAAGAGACTGTCTTTATTCCATTGTATATTCTTGCCTCCTTTGTCGAAGATCAGTTGACCAAAAGTTTGTGGGTTCATTTCTGGGCTCTCTATTCTGTTCCATTGGTCTATATGTCTGTTTTTGGTGCTGTCTTTACCATGCTTTCTTGATGACTATAGCTCTGTAGTATTGTCTGAAGTCTGGGAGAGTTATTCCTCCAGCCTCTTTCTTTTTTTTCAGTAATGCTTTGGCAATTCTAGGTCTTTGATGGTTCCATATAAATTTTATTATGATTTGTTCTAGTTCTGTGAAATATGTCCTGGGTAATTGGATAGGGATTGCATTAAATCTGTAGATTGCCTTGGGCAGTGTGACCATTTTAACAGTATTGATTCTTCCAATCCAAGAGCATGGGATATCTTTCTATTTTTAAAAGTCTTCTTTAATTTCCTTCATCAGTGGTTTATAGTTTTCTGTGTATAATTCTTTCACCTCCTTGGTTAGATTTATTCCTAGGTATTTTATTACTTTAGGTGCTATTTTAAAGGGGATTGTTTCTTTACTTTCTTTTTCTGTTGATTCATTGTTAGTGTAAAGAAATGCCACTGATTTTTGAACGTTAGTCTTGTAACCTGCTACCTTGCTGAATTCTTCGATCAGCTCTAGTAGTTTTTGTGTGGACCTTTTAGGGTTTTCTATATATAGTAACATGTTGTCAGCGTATAGTGACACTTTTACCTCTTCTTTTCCAATTTGGATCCCTTTTATTTCTCTCTCTTGCCTGGTTGCTGTAGCTAGGACTTCCAAGACTATGTTGAATAGGAGTGGTGATAGTGGGCATCCTTGTCTTGTCCCATATTTTAGTGGGAAGCTTTTGAGTTTTTCACCATTGAGTACTATGCTGGCTGTAGGTTTGTCATCTATAGCTTTTATGATGTTGAGATATGTTCCCTCTATACCCACTTTGGTGAGAGTTTTTATCATAAATGGGTGTTGAATTTTACCAGATGCTTTTTTTGCATCAATTGAGATGATCATGTGGTTTTTGTCCTTTCTCTTGTTGATGTGATGTATTACATTGATTGATTTGCATATGTTGAACTACCCTAACCCTGGCAGTTTTGATCAAGGAGAGAGAGAGAATGAACAAATTCAGTGCAATATCAGACAAGAAAAAGAAGATATCCTGTATCACTATAGTTTCCAGAGACATAGGCCATGCTCTAAACCTGAAGATGTGGCTGCTTTACAAAAAGTCCTAGAAAAGCATAGTAGATGCCAACCACAAAGTGACAGATGTTAGAATTATCTGACAAAGATTTTATAGCAGACATGATAAAAAATGCTTCACTGAGCAACTAGGAACACACTTCAAAAAAGTTGGGGGAAAAAATAGAAAGCCTTAGCAAAGAAATAGAAGCTATAAAGAACCAAATGGAAATTTTAGAACTGAAAAATACAATAACTGAACTAAAATCTCAGTGGATGGGCTCAACAGCATAAGAGGAGGAAGAAGAAAGAATCAATGAACTCTAAGATAGAACAATTGAAACTACCCAGTCTGAAACACAGAAACTAGACTGAAAAATCAACAACAGAAAAGTGAACAGAGCCTCAGGGGCCTGTGGGACTATAACCAAAGATCTAACATTTGTGCCATCAAAGTTCTAGAACAGGAGAAAGAAAGAGTGTGGGGCTGAAAAAGAACTCAAAGAAATAATGGCTGAAAAATCCCAAATTTGGCAAGAAACATAAACATAGAGATTCAACAAGCGGAACAAACCAGACAGAATAAAGCCAAAGAAATCCACAGGCAGACACATCATTATTAAACTCCTAAAACTAAAGGAAAAAAAATCTTAAAAGCAGCCAGAGAAAAACGACACCTTACCCGTAAGGAAGAAGAAAAAACAAAACAAAACAATTAGAATGACAGCAGATTTCTCATCAGAAAATCACAGAGATCAGAGTGAAGTGGCACAGTATTTTTCAGGTGATGAAAAAAAAAGAACAGTTAACCCAGAATCCTACACCTAAGCAAAAATATCCTACAGGAATGCCGGGAAATTAAGACATTCTTAGATGAAGGAAAACTAAGATGGTCTGTCACCAGCAGACATGCCCTAAAAGAATGGCTAAAGGAAGTTCTCTAAACAGAAAGGAAACAATAATAGAAGAACTTGGAACATCAGGAAGGAAGAACACAGTCAGCAAAAACTATGAGTAAACAGGCTTTCCCATTTACTTCTTACAGGTTTTCTAAATAATGTTTGACTGTTGAAGCAAAAATTACAACTCTTTCTGATATGGTTCTAAATGTATGTAGAGGAAATAATTAAGACAATTATGTACAATCTGGGGAATACAGTCAACAGCTACGTAGTATGTTTGTACGGTGACATACCATCACTAGTATTGTGGTGATCATTTTAAAATGTATAGAAATATCAAATCACTATGTTGTATAACAGGAACTAACATAGCATTGTAGGTCAATTATACTTCAAAAACAGACTCAGAAAAAGAGATCAGATTTGTGGTTGGATTGAGGCAGGGGGAGTTGGATGAAGGTAGTCAAAAGGTACAAACTTTCAGTTATAAGATAAATAAGTACTAGGGATGTAATGTACAACATGAGAAATACCGTTAACATCGCTGTTTGTTATGTATGAAAATTGTTAAGAGAGTAAATCCTAACAGTTCTCATCACAAGGAAAACATTTTTTTCTATTTAAGTTTGTTATCTGTATGAGATGATGGATGTTACTGTGATAATCATTTCACGATGTATGTAAGTCAAATCATAATGCTGTACACCTTAAACTTACACAGTGCTATACCTCAACAAAACTGGAAGGAAAGAAATCAGTTAAAAATAATAAAGTCCTAACAAAAAAAATTGTAGATATAGATAATTCTAAAACTTATATGGAAAGGCAAAGGAACTAGAAGAAAATCTTAAAAGACAAAGCTGTAAATCTGCGATATTGTGATTTAGAATAAGGAATACACATCTATTTAGTCTTCACCCCCAATCTGAGCCCCTAAGATCCCTGGAATTGCCTAAGTGACAAGAGAGATGAAAGTGTCTTTTGTTATTCATAACTAGCCCTTTCAATCACACCTGAGTTTAGGTTAACGCGGCAACCTTTGGTTGCCAGGGGAACCTTTCAGCCCTACCCCTGACCTAGGGAGTAGGGAGGAGAGAGGGGCTGGCCTTTGAATCAGTCTCCAAAGGCCAAAGATTTAATCAGCCATTCCTACCTAATAAAAACCTACCTCCATAAAAACCTAAACAGATGGGGTTTGGAGAGCGTCCAGGTTGGTGAGCACAACCACATGTTGGGAGTGGCACACCGCAGTTCCACGGGGACAGACACTCCTGCACCAGCGACGTTGCCCTATGTACCTCTTCATCTGGCTGTTCATCTGTATCCTTTATAATACCCTTCACACTAAAGTAGTAAACACAGGTAAATATTTACCTGAGCTTTGTGAGCCATTCTAGCAAACTTTCAAACCCGAGGAGGGGATGGTGAGAACCTCAATTTAACGCTGGTCAGTCAGAAGTACAGGTGACAACTAGAACCTGAGGCTGCTGTTGTTACCAAGCAGGGGCTCGTGTGCCCCTGGCGCAGAAAGCCAAATTCTGACAGCGGGTATCTGCAGCAAAATGAGGGTTTATTGTAGTGCGATCGGCAAGGGAGTGAAAGACAATCCTCAGACCCATGCCATTTGGTCTTTGAGTTAGAGATGATTGAAAAGGGAAGAACAAGAGGCTGGGATTAATTATCATGTGACATTTCTGTAACTGCAGTTTCGGGAGTCAGGAGGTTTCTGGTTTATGATTCTCTTGGCCAAGTGGTCCACAGCTCGAGGGCCTATTCTTGTCCTGGGGAAACAGCCCAAGTTTGTAGTTAAGGGTATCTACGATAGCAGTTTTAGTACATCAGTGATGTTATCAACCACAGCAATCTTAGGCATCTGACTCGGGCTGATTAGTGTTCAGTTAGCACAGGACTGAGGTCAGAAGGGACAAGAAAGAGCATAAAGTTTTGGATAGAGAAATTAATCATAAACTTGGTAAGGGAACTCAGTTTTAGGGGGACTCGGTTTCAGTCTCCCTAAAGTGGGGGCATTCTTGTGGGACTGGGCCCTTAACCTGTGGGGTCTGATGCTGTCTCTGGGTAGCTAGTGTCAGAATTAAGTTAAACTTGTAGGATACCCAGTTGGTGTCTGCTGAAGTGGAGAAATGCTTGGTATGGGAAAAACTCCCATACAGCTGGTGTCAGAAGTCTCAAGAGTGGAAGAGGAAAAAAAAAAAAGAGTTCCCTGATGAAGTTTTCTACCACTAGGCACCAAGATGCATTTGAAACTGGCAGAATGGTAGACCAATAGAGCACTGGAAAAGAACAGAGTCCACAGACAAACCCACACACATTTGGACATTTGAATTTTGATAAAGATGACACCACAGAGAAGCAGGACAAGGACAGGTTTTAAATAATAGTGCTGGTCAAGTTGGTATTTATATGGGAAAAGACATGGCTCTTGGCCCTAACTTACAACATACCCAAAAATCAATTCCAGATTGATCATAGATCTAAATGCAAAAGGCAAAATAGAAAACCTTCTAGAAAAGAATGAGAAAATATCTTCATGACCTTAGGTAGGCAAAGATCTCAAATAAGACACAAACGCCATTCATTACTAAGGACAAAATGAATCAATTATACTAAGTTAAAATTAGAAATTTCTCTCCATCAAAAGACTGCATTTGGGGACAGAAGAGCAAGCCACAGAGGGGAGAATGTATTTTTTTAATACATATAAGAATTTCTCTGATCATCAACTACCTCATCTATACGGTTAAATGAGACAATATATTTTAAAAAGTTAGCACAGTGCCTGGCACGTACGAAGTATTCCATAAAATTCAATACTGCGTCCCTTATAACTGAGGCATCCCGGCAGGAGGACTGTACTTCAAATCACTTCCAGGCAGACAGAATCTCTCCCGTTTCTGATGTCCCATAAAAGAGCTGTCAGAAGGGTTTCCTCTCAATTCTCTCATAAACCTTACAAACCAATGTTGAAGGCATTCTCTAAAGTACCCACTTCAATCCCAAAGCTGCAATCTGCACGTAGAGAGGGTGCTCAGTTCTAAACAGTACAGTGGAAGGGCTGGGAGGCGCAGCGGGAGGGTGAGAGTGGGTTTGACTCTCGGCTGTGTCAGGTCACATTGTGGGAAATCTTCCAAGTGAGCTGAAAGCAGCAAGCAGGGAGGGGCTGGTCAGGAGGGAAGAAAGCCCTCTCTTCTTTCAAACATAGTATTGTTTGTCACAGTAGCCACCAAGATTCCCAGAAGCATGCAAGTGGGAGCTTTCAAATGGTTTCAAAGGGGTCACCTCATTCCTGCAGAGACAAGCCCAGACCTTAAAGGGGGAACATGCTGACCTGTGTGAATGGAGAAGCCCTGTGGGCAAGGACAGTGGCTTGAGGCCCCACCTCTCAGTGGGGATGGGCAGAACTTTTGAAGGACTTGGGTTTGCCTCTAGCTAGCCTCCTTCCTGCTCTTCCTCCCTAGCGGAGGACAGGAGTCTAGAAGCCTCGGCCACTGATAGGAAGCCAGGGGGGCTGAGAAGGAAGACCCTCGAACAGGCCCACCCCCATCAGTTTTGAGTGCCAGCAGCCTCATTCCTAGGACAGCATCAAGCACCACCTGCAAACCCTTCCGTTATTTACAGAGTCTGTCTACACCCTCAGCAGCCCTGCGGTCAGTCGAAGGATTATCCTGACCCCTTTGTACAGCTGTCCAAGTTGAGCCTTGGAGAAACAGTGAATTACCTAAGGTGGTTCTCAGGCTGAGGACTCATCCCATCCCCCTCCATCCTCCATCAAGATACCGAGAAAGTGACTATTCTGATTACCATTTTTGAGCATCTTGTGCGCCAGGCATATGACTAGGTGCTTCACTTCCATTAGCTCGTTTGTCCTTTAGAACAACCCCAGAAGTGGGTGACTGTAGCCTATTTTACAGGCTCAGAGAAGGTAATAACATAAGAGATCATACTTGGTGCCAGGCACTATTCTAAACACTTTCAAGTCTATTAAGTCACTTATTCTCAAAAATCCTGTGAAAGTAACTGCAAGTATCATCTCCATTCCAGAGACATGGGAACTGAGGCTCAGAGACATCATGTAAGTGGTCTGAGGCTGCACCGGTAGGAAGTAGAGCTGATCTGAACCAAGCATTCTTACCACTGTTCCATGTCTCTGGCAGTACAGGCAACTTACCCAAGGGGCACATGTAGGGAGTGTCAGAATCCCGCTGAAATCATGGCCCAACTGAAAGCCTAGGGGCCTCCCACCCAACTATCCTGCAGAGCAGCGCTGCAGGGATGCTTTGGATCATGTAGGCGGCCTCCTCCTCTCCATCTATGAGACAGTCCCTGCCAAGCAACCCCCAGAAATAGGATGCACGGAGGCAGACCGCTCCATGGTGGCAGACAGCCCGATTTGGCTGAAAGAGCTGGGGCCCATCCAACCGAACTTCTTGGCCAGTTTTTCTCCCTCTGCCTGCTGCTCGCTGGCTGAAACCAGCCCCTGATTCTCATTCTACCCCCTGGTCCCCATTGAAAGCACTGAATGGGCAGCAGAGAGGGGGCTGGGAGAGTGAGCGATTCCTCAGTGAGCCCTGCCTGCCCCTTCGGGCAGGGTAAGAGGAGCTGGGTGGGAGTGAGGAGACGGGTGCTGGGGAGTGGTTCTGGAGTTGTGGGACAGGTAACCTAGCAACCACTGGCTGATGCAGTCACAAAGCGACAGGCTTACCCACAGAACTGACGAGGCTTCCTGTTGACATGTCCGCTTGCTCCTTCCTGCTCAGGCAGCAAGGGCTACTCACCCACACTCTATAGCGGCCACTTTCTTCAGTGAGTCCAGGGATCTCCACAGGGGAGGAAACGGATACTCGAGTCAGACCAGGGCCTAGTGAGGGCCTAGAGGGGCCAAGATGGGGAAAGGACAGTTGTCTCTCTGAATTGGTATGAGCCTTCAGGCCCCTTGTGCCTGGCCGGCTTGGGGCCCAGAGGGAGAGGGCAGGGAGGACGGGGCAGACTCAGAGCAGCCTGGCCTGGCCTGCTAGAGTCCCTCCTGCTCTCTTTACAACAGCTGTAGGGTATGACCCATTAGTGGCTCATAAAATCAATTTAATGGGCCACATCTAACATTGACAAAATGAAAACAAAAAGTAGGATGAAAATATCAGTAGGCATCATATATAACAAGGGTAAGATTGTTTCTGTTCCATATATACACACAAGCGTGTGCACACGCATGCGTGAATTGGGTTATGATGTAAAAATGAGTTTCTTACTGTGGTCATAGTCAAAAGTATTTGAAAGTCTCTATTCTAACGAGTCATTTTCCTATAGGCCAGTGGGCTTGGGACTTCCAAATGCCCTGTCCTCAGCCCTGCAGCATTTAAGTGCCCTAGAGCCTAGCCCCCATCGTCAAGGACGTCCAAAGTTTCCTTCCAAGGATGCCCTGCCAACTGACTTTCTCTTTAGAAAAAAGATCAGGAAACTGAGTCAGGATGCCTGGTTCCTTGATGTGTGCTCTCAAAGTCTCTCCCCTTCTCTGATCTCAGGCAGTGCTGCCCAATCCCCTCCACCCTAAACTGATGGAAAGCTGGCCCGGGGGGAATCTCTGGGGTCCCTTGCAGATTCTAGGACTCAGAGGGTTAATTCTCAGAAGGCACTGATTTCCTGTCTCAACCCCAGCATTATATGTACACACAGATCGATAGATTTGGATTAATCACATTTCTTGGCTTTAATACCTATTATCTTTCATCCATGTCATTTCATTAGTTTACTGAGTAATATAATGAACACCAATAAATGTCCCTCCCAAACCAAGAACTAGAATACCACCAGCCACACATCACATGGGCTCCTCTCCCCTCTCCTCTCACCATCTGCCCTCAGAAATAGCCACTATTTGAATTTCGTGTTTAGCATTTCCTTGCTTTTTTTTCCCTTGCTTTATCACATGTTTATGATCACTTTGCCTGCTTTTGAACTTTTTTTTTAAAAAGGATCTCAGGCTATGTGGTCTTCTGCAACTTGCTTTCCTTGACTTAGCATTACATTTATAAGATTGATCTATGTTGTTGCATGTAGCTGTGGTTCATTCATTTCTGTTGCAATATAATGTCCAGTTGTCTGAATGGACCACAGCATATTTATCCATTCTTCTGCCATTGGATATTTGGATTGTCACCAGATTTTTGCTAATTTGAACATTGGTTTGAATATTCTTACACATACCCCTGTTGCACATCTGCAAGAGTGTCTCTTGGGTATATATCTGGGAGAGGAACTGCTGGGTGATACAGCAGACAAATGTTCAATTTTATAAGATACTGCCAGTTTTCTCCCCCTAAAGTGTCTATTCCAGTTTATACTCCCACCACCAGTCTATGAGAGTTCCTGTTACCCATCCTCAACACTAGTATCAAGTGCACTGGTCATTACTCTGTTAGAGACCCTACAATGGCTACGGAAGTGAGGACCCAACTGGGGGAACATCCACTGATGAGGTAAGGTCCCAAATGCCATCTCTACTGACCAAGGAGGTAGACGGAGCAGGGTGGAAGACAAAGGAACTCAAAAGACTGAGGGTCCAAGAGTCATTCCCCCGCCATCAGCCAGGCCTCCAGTGGGTTCTCAGGCCTGAGTTAGCACAGGTCACAGGCTGGGCCCTTCCTTGGTGGGGGGAGGGGTGGTGGCAGAGGGGCAGAAACACAGAAATTCCAGGGGATTTCAGGGGATGACTTCCTCTTTCAGTTGTGGGTAGGGGAGTCCAGGAAACAGCAACTTTCAGAGAAGGTTTGCTTTATTTCTTTAAGTCCCAGATCCCTTATGGACAGATCAAGGACGGAACAGGAAACTCAGGGGCCTGATCAGCGAAATCCTCAGAGGGCCCTGGGGCAAAATGCCTTGCTTAGCATATCCAGAGTCCATCTATACTCCTCCAGAGGGACTCCCTTCAGCCAGGGCCACCGGACCGGGAAGCAGACAGCGAGCAGGCAGGTGGTCCCACCAGGCCCCTGGCAGAGAGCAGCCCACTTTTGGATCCTTGCTGGACTGACTCCACCCCTTCCTCCCAGGGCAGAGGTGCAGTGTTCTCAGGAGAGGGAAAGGGTGCGGGTGGAGGACAGAGGACCTGAGATGGCTTGTCTCCAGTGAAGCGAAGCGAAGCGAAGCAAAAGCTTGAAGCTTCCCTACAGCGACGCAACCCTGTTAGTCCCCTCATCAGCCATCAGCTCTGCATCTCCAGAGAGGGGCCCCCACAGGGGAAGGGCCTACTGGCCTAGTCTGGCCTTGGCACCAGCTTTGGCCCTTGGATGCTGAATCTGGACCAAAACTGCCCCTGAGGGCATTGGGGGAGGGTGACAGCCTATAGCTGGCTTCCCCTGGGCCGCCAACAGTTTGGCTTGGGGAGAGGCCCGTGCTGGGGTGTATATAATATGTCTTTGCTCCAACCGAGGTATTTGGACAAGTAGGTGGGTCTGTGGCTTCTCTTTCTGGCTTTAGAAATGGTTTCTGGGAGAAAACTCAGGTGATAGGGGATTCTACCTGAATTCTCTCAGATGGATCCTAGCTCCATGCTAAGGCATCTTCAGAAGACAGAAGGCTCCCTGAAGCTGGACTGCACCAGCTGGGAAAGGACCCTGGGGGAGGCCCAGCTTTGGGTGCCATGGGGTTGGGGGTAGTGGTAAAATCCTGGAAATCAGATTTCAGAGTATCTCAGGAATGGACTCTGGAATACGCTGGGGTGGGCACCGCTGCCAGGGGGCTCCATTAGCTTCTCCTTGACCCTCTCCTTCAGTCCAAGGCCTGAGCTGAAACCTGAGAAGAAGCCAGGACACAGGCCAAGAAGCCACAGGGACGGCGGGCCACAGAGAGAACTGATGATCCCAGGGATCGTGGATCTTGAGCTGATCCGAGAGGCGCCGAGGACCCCCAAGCCCCAAACCCCAGGTGCCTACCGCTTCGGCCGTCTCAGCCACCATTCCTTCTTCTCCCGGCACCATCCGCACCCCCAGCACGTGACCCACGTCCAAGGTATGGCTGGGGTAGGCTGGGGCCGGGCAGGTGGGGGTGGGAAGTGGTCTGGAAAACTGGAAAGGGAGGAACCAGCTCATTTCCAGGCCGAGGCCCAGAGAGGATGGGGACTTGGTCAGGGCCACAGGGCTGCTTGGCCACTTGCAAGCACTTGGCCAAGCCAAGACTCAACCTGGGGCTGGGGGCAGGTTGGGGGGTTCCAAGGGCAGACAGCATGGCCCTACAGGATTTACATCATTGCCAATTCTCCCATTTTACAAATCAGAAAAAGAGGTGAATATTCTGCTCCAGAGCTGCACTTCCTTCTCTAACTCAGGCCATTTCATCCACTCAGCCATTCACCCATCAAATATCTACTGAATGTGAGTTTGGGTCATATACTTTTTTAGGCCCTGGGGATGTGATAGTGAACAAGACAGTCCCTGACTCTCCAGTGGGAAAGGACAGGAAATGGATAAAGTGTGTCAGAATGTGCTAAGTGCCAAGGCTGTAGGGGGAGAGCTGACCAGTAGCATGACATCTGAGCAAAGAATAAAGGAAGAGGGCACGAACCACGTAGATGTCAGGGGGAAGAGTGTCCCAGGCAGAGGGAACAGCAAGTACAAAGGCCCTGAGGCAAGAGCATCCTGGCTCCGTTGGAGGAACAGCAAGGAAGTCAGTGAGGCTGGAGCAGAGTAAGGAGGAGGAGGGAGAGGCATCAGAGAGGCAGCGCGAGCCCCGATCATGTGGATCTTGGAGCTCACCATTAAGCCATCTCGGTGAGTCAGGTGGGAGCCATTGGAAGGTTGAGAGCAAAGAAGAGACAGAAGTGATCTATCAGCCTCTGAATGGATGGTGGCTTGGGCCAGGGAGGTAGCAGTGGAAGAGTTAGTGGCCCTGCTCTCCTTTAAGGCCAATAGGATTTGCCGACTGATTAAAAATGGAGTGTGAGAGGGAGAAAGGAGCCAGGCTGACTCCCAGGTGTTTGGCCTGAGTAACTAGAAAATCAGAGTTGCAGAGGAGCCAACAGAAGGTGCCAGTGGATGGTGAGGAGGAGTTAGGGGTTTGGTCTGAGACTGGAAGATGGGACACATGAAGTGCCCCTCAGACATCCAGGAGGAGGTGCTGAGCAGGCAGCCAGGTCCAAAGTTCAGGTCAGAGCTGCAGATGTGAGAACCACTCGAGTCAGGGGGTGTCTGAAGCACCTGGGTGGGATTGTCAGGGGACCGTGCAGATGCAGGGGAGGAGAACCTGGGATGAACCCAGGGACCCTAAGGCTAAGGGGTTGAGGAGATGAAGAGGAAGCAGCAGAGGAGCGGCCAGTGAGCTAGGAGCGAGGGGTCCTGGCCCCAAAGGAGAGTATTTCAGGAAAGAGAGAGTGAGCAAGCACGCTAAGTCCTAACCAAGCTGTTCCTCCAAGCTTGACTATCTAACGATGATATCCTATCACCTTAGCAGGAGGGGCCTCACGTGTAACTGTCTCTTACCACCTCCAGGCTGCCATGCACTCAGCCCTGTACAGGCTGACAGATGGCACCAAGTTTTATCCAGAGGGCCTGGCTCCCTGGGATTTGAGCCCAGGCCCCTGCGGTCACAGACTGTGGCTGAATGCCCCTGCCCCCATGCCCCTTCTTTAAGCTGCCTGCCTCTGTGTGCTCACACCTGCAGTTCATTGCTGTCATAGAAAACAGGAAGGATCCCCTGACTAGGGTCCCAGGAGGCCCAGGTTCTGGTCTCAGCTCTGCCTGACTTGCCATGTGATCCTAAGCCATTCTAAATGTCCCCAGGGGTAAAGTCTCAGTGATTGCAGAGGCCCTATCAGTTCCAGCCACCTATGGGCTTGTGGTTACTGGAAGAAGCGGGGCCAGCGCTCCCCCTGCCTCCCAGCCTCCCAGCCTCCCAGAGTTCTTGGGATCCACTCAGGCCCCCTTCCCACAGCCTCGAACCCTTCACAGATCTCACTGGGAAGCCTGTGTGTGTCGTCAGGGACGGATTCTCTCTGGCTGCCTCTCCTCAAGCCACACTCTTATCTCGCTATCTGATCGGGATGCCCACCATCTCTGTCCCCATTGGAGACCCACAGTCCAATCGAGACCCTCGGCTTCCTTCTGGTGGGTACCTGGGTCACACCCCCTCTCCCTGAGGGTTATACATGTCCCCACGGGCTGCCTGGCTGGGTGCGCGCCTGGGAAGGACCGCTGCTCTTAGGTTGGGGGGTCCAGGAGGGTACCCTACTATTTTCCTTATTTTCTCGAGCAGCTGCATTTCCATATTCCCCATTATCCCACCCCAGTCCTCAGAAATGTGCCCCTGCTCGGATATGAAGTGTCTGAAGAGTAATAACAAGCCAAGGACAAGCAGATTTGGGCAACAGTCATGTGACTTACGCCTCTAGACAGAAGCGATATTGGAAACACTGTATTTAGTAACTTGTATGCTCAGGCACCAGCCAGTCAGAACAATCAGGCATAGACAGTGCTGGGGCAGCACTTCAGAAGCCTCTACTTTGCCAAGCAGTACTCTTTCCCTTAAGGGCTGGGGAAGGGGTCCTGGGGAAGGGGCAGACGGGATCTAAAGGCTTGCTGCAGGGCTGTTTAACAACCTTGCCAGGAGTCACTCAATACTTTAGTAACTGGGATAGCACATGGACTGAATCTCAGTCCTGGCTTCAGTTTCCTAAAGAGGCAAAGCTAGATTCAATCACAAATATCTTGGCACCTGTAGCCAAAAGTTCTCCAGCTTTTCCCACAGGCTAGAGCAATCAACAATAGCCCCCTCCAGTATCCACCCACCCACGCACCGATGGTGTGACTCCTACTCCCTCCCTTAAGGGCACCACCTCCCCTATGAAACTACCCTTGCCTTTAAGATGCACAGCAGGACGGCCGGGAGGACAGGAGGCTCTTCCACCTACAGCCCTCCCAACACCCAGGGCCACAGGGAGGGCAGGGAGATCGGCCCCAGATACCAGTTAGCCAGCTCTTGTCCCCTCCTCTCAGAGGCCTGGAAGAAGGAGTTGAAAGACCTGGCTTCCCGGGTGGCCATCTTCACCAAGGAGAATGAGCTGAAGAACAAGAAGGTGGGTGCAGAACAAAGGAGCTGTCTGCAAAGAGATGAAATGGATCCGTGCCTTTATAACTAAACCCATTTCACATGGATTCAAGCTGACTGGAAGCAGAGCCAGGCTCCTGTGAGGCGCTGCTGTTGGCACGGGGAGGGGCCAATGAACATAACCGAATGCAACCCAGGGAGAGGGTCATAGTAAGGGCTCAGAGGACAGAACATACGTCAAAGGAGAAATCCAAGGAGGCTCACAGCACGAATGCTCAGAAGCTGGAAGATGGCAGGACATCTTTAGAGAGCAGAGGGCTGAAGTATAGGGTGTAAGTGGGCAGCAGTGAGGGAGAAGGTGGGCAGGGGGCCAACTATGGATGATGTGGGCCAGAATGCTAGTTTAGTGTCTAATCTGATAAGGGGTAGAGATCACTGAAGGTTTTCAAACAGGATGAGGGTGGCCTCCTGGGTGTTATTTGCTGATAAACCAGTAAAGACAAGTGGGAGGCAGCTTGAAGGTAGTTGGAATTGGTCCTAGAACAGGCCTGGCCCTTTGTGGCTGAGTCCAGTCTTGCCCTTGTCTGGGGCAGCAGAGGTCTCATCCCTGCTCTGCAGCTAACTTGCTGTGACACCCAGGGCAACTCAGCTAAGCTGGCTAGGTCTCAGTTTTCTTATCTCTAAAATGGGGAGAAGGATACTACCAGTCTTAACTGGAGTTGCAATGGCAGGAGGTCCCAGGCCCTGTGCCCAGAGGTCTGGCTCAGGCATGGGTTTCCCAGGGCAAAGGATGCCAAGCTGTGGGGGACAGACCTGGGGGCAGCTGAGCTAAGAATTAAGGTAGGTAGTGAGGGGCTTGGTGCATGAGACTGTTTTCAAATCTCTGATGGGCTGGGGGGAGGGGCAGCAGGGAGGGACTGCCCAGGAGGAAGTACAAGGACCACCTGAGGACCACAGTGGGCAGCCAGCAGCCAAGAGTCAAAGAAGTTCCAGCAGGAAGAGCAGTGACTATAATGGAAGGGCCCCCTGCTGGCCAGAGGGGTCTAGGACAGAGTGGGGCTGGCCTGGTTGACATCCTAGGTCCCTGGCCTCCCCTTCCTCTTTTTCCCTCTGCTTTCTCCTCATTCTGCCTCTCTCTGTCTTGCTGCCTGGAGTCTCTGGTTGCTTTTCTCCCAGCAGAAGGAGAAGCCTCAGCGGGAGCAGGGAGCAAAGTACTCAGCAGAGACTGGTAGGCTCATACCTGCTTCCACCCGGGCAATGGCCCGCCGCCATTCCTGCCAGGGCCTACGAAACCACCCTTCGAGCGGAGATGGAGGAGTCCAGACCTTCATCCTGCAGGATCAGGAGTTGCTGGTGAGGTCCTGAGAAGGTTGAGGGCTGCGGACCCTACAGAAGCCCTAGTCTGAAGGCAGAACACATGGTGGTCCCTGCTCCCCAGCTCCCAGCAATCTACCTAGGACACTTACAAACTGCTTTCAAGCATGGTTTCTTCCATGGAGCCTTGCATCTGACACTGTAAGACTTGAAAACCCCAGACTTGGAGTCAGGAGCTTGGATTCCAATCCCCAGCTGCCTCTGGGTTTCTGTGTGAGCCTTTTCTTTTCTAAGCCCTGTCCCCTCTCAGAACCTGAGTTCCATGATTTAGCCAAACTGGGAGCATGGAGAGATTATCACAAGGTCTGGTCCAGCTGAGGCACTTCATGAGTTAAGGAAGGGAGCTACACGGGTGGAATCAGATGCACAGAGATGAAGGTCCTGCATGGTGCATCCTCATACCCTGCATGATGCACCTGAAGCCTTTAAGGCTGGTACCTCCCCACACTCTGGAGGGGTCTGGTCTGTGTTGTGGCAAAGCATAAAGCCCCCTCCTCCGTGCTCGAGTTTCCCATGGAGGCCGGAAAGGCGTGCAGGACTCATGCAGGTGGGCGAGGGCAGTGAGAGTCCCTGTTAAAAGGAGCACATGTTCTCTAGGAGAGGCCAGACAGTGACAGCATCTTAACACCTTCCTTGCGACCAGCGCTTTAAAGCACGCAGTCCCCTTGGAGCCTTAATGACAGTTCATGAAATGGATAGAGCAGACAGGGCCAGGATCCCCATTCCACAGATGGGGTGGCTGAGGCCCTGCCAGGTAACATCCTGTGGCCCAGGTTCCCAGAGAGGGAGCAGCCTAACAGGGACTAGAACACAGTACTTTCTCCACCATAGGGCGGCCTCACCTTGCCTGGAAGTAGGTTCTCGGGCCCTGTGGGGAGGGGGCACAGGGCAGGTAAGTTGGATATGGAGAAGAGCCCCGGGCAGATGGGGGCTGAGGTCACCTCAGTGGGGGGGGGGGGTACCTGCGGGTGAGGGTGGGCAGCCTAGCAGGCATAGGCCTGGGGAAAGGCCTGGCCCAGTTCCCCCTCTGCCAGGGATAAGGCAGGCCTGCTGGGCACTGACAGGTGTCTTCGGTTCCTGAGGAGACTGAATGCTGACTGCTGAGAGGACCCCGCTTTCCTAGGACTCCAGGGGCCCCAGCTCCCACCAAGGGCCCCAGCCCCACGTAGCCACAGCCACCGTCAGCAGCCCGGCGTAGGGAGACTCCAGAGCCCTTCCAAGACAGAGCTGGATCTCTTGCCAATGATCCTTCACTGGAGGACACAGGTGGGAAAGGGCCTTGAAGATGCAAAGATGCCAAAGGAGGCCAAGGAGGCATCTGGGGACGAAGAGCACATGGCACTGGGCGGGAAGGAGGCTCCGGCTGAGCCAGACGCAGAACCAGCCGGCCCCAACCCTCAGACTGCCCATGGGGATCACCCCACCTCTTTGATAACATCTCCAGACTCTGAAGTTGGGAACTTCAGGGAGGGGAGGCCCATGGGGTCCATGAAATCCCCACGTCAAGGACCCGGGCGTTCAGGACTCGGTGCGTCTCTGAGGAGCTGAAGGGCCAACTCTGACCTTGCCTTCCCACTGTGGGACTCTAGGGTACCACTAGCCCAAGTAGGGATGAGGGGTCCAAGTGTTTGATTCTGAGGCTTAGTTCTGCCACAGCATCCCTGCGAGGTACCCTCCTCTCCTGAGGCCTCAGATTTCTCATCTGTCCAGTGACGAGGTTAAGAATCTTCCTCCAGGGCTGTGGGGAGAGAAAGCTTTCTACGAAGTGTGAAGTCCACAGAGAGGGGAGGCAGGGACCACCGTGGGGACCAGTCTAGCCAATCATGTGGCGCTGGGAGGCCACTTCGGTGGGGAGGGCCTGTGTTGCCGGGTGGAACAGGCCATCCAGCCACACTGACCCAGGCCTGTCCTCCTGCCCACAGATCCTAGAGCTCCTTTCTCAAATCCTGCAAACAGACTCCTTGAATGCTATCCAGTTCTGGCTACTCTACGCTCCCCCCAAGGGTGAGGACACAGTCTGGGTCCAAGAACCTGATCTGAGTGGTGGCTGCCGAGGGCTGTGTCCTCTGGTTCTGCAGGACTCAGATGTCACTCGGCTCCCACCCTAGGGCCTTACATCAAGCCCCTCCTCCTTTTTAGAGCCCCAAACTAACCTTTTCCAACTAGACAACATCACTGCTCCCTCCCCATTCCTCAGCAGGATTCTACCACACCACTCCTTGGAGGGGACCCCTCCTCCACGCTGACCACAGACCTCAGCACATGGGAGAGAGACATTCAAAGACCATACTTAGCAGACACAGCCCCTAACCTACCACTATAGGAAACACATGCACAGAGATGCAAATATATGCACATAAGAACATACATACATCTGCACACGAACACATGAAACACACACACACACATGATGGGACAGTGGGTGGAGGGTGTATCTAAGTGGGAGGGTGAGGAGTGATGGGAGTTGGAGAGCTGACTGGGAAGGCTCCCTGGACTGGACAGTGGAGGGAGAGGAAGGAGGGCGGGTCCCCAGCAGGCTTCCCAGAGGGCCTGAGGGTCTTGTGGCAGGTGGACCAAGACCAAGGTACACAAGAGAAAGGTGTGGAAGGCCAAGCCACCCTGCACACAGAGGGGCCAGAGAGAAGTGCGGACCTCCTGTGGGCTGAATGTGAGATGGCTACAGATCTGCCATTGGGCAGAAGAGCTGGAGGCCCTGCCTCTGGCCCATCCCCTCTAGGAGCAGGATGGGGGCTAGAGTCTTGGCCCTGAGGATTTCTCCCCCGGCTTTGCTTACAGAGAAAGACATGGCACTAGGGCTCCTGCAGACAGCAGTGGCACAACTCCTTCCCCAGCCCCTAGTCTCCATCTCAGCAGAAAAACTCCTGAACCAGCTCCAGGAAGTTCAAGAACTATCGCAAGAGAGGCAACAGCTACCCTACAGGTGGGCTTTGCACACTTCACCTGCCCCTCTGTTCCCAGAACTGCTCCCTCGTATTCAGCCACTTGTCCTCCCAGGTGAGGCCAGTGGAGACCAGAGGGGGCCTGGTGATTAAACAATCACCTGTCCTGGAGGAAGAGACGCAGGCCCTCTCCCAGGACCCCCCGGTTCTACCCGTGTAGCTTGAAGGCTCACTCTGCCAAGCCAGCCTCTGGGGGCCAGCTGTGGGGGGTGCCAAGGGAGTGACTTGTTTCAGCCGCAAACATCCAGCCCTCCATACATAGTCTTTGGGAAGACACAAGTAGGTAAGGAGCGGTAACACAAAGCAGGCAGGAGCATCTTTTTGCCGGTATTAAGTCCTCTAGCAGGCTGGAGAGAAGGATTAATTACGAGCTGGGGAAAGAGCAGATGAGGGAAGGCCGCACCCAGCAGGTGAGTGGGGCTTGAACGTCAGCCGTGAGCCCAGCGGTCCTGAGGGCCACGGTATCTGCCTGACACCGCTGGGTGTTTGATTCTTTTCTGGTCCATACAGCCACCCACGGAGGCAGTATTACCTCTGTTTTACAGAAGAGAAAACTGAGGCCCAAGAACAGTTGAATGACAGCCCAGAGGCACCCAGCTGGGCAGCAGAACACTCAGACTCAGGCTTACCTACCATCCAAGCCCAGCAGTGCTCAGATTCAGCGAGGAGCTTGTTGAAAATTCGGATACCTAGAGAGTGTCACCCAGTAGCGGGGTGAACACAGAAGATATGTATCTTTAACAATCACCCGAGAGTTTCTGATAGTGCCTGTGGGACGCTGCTGGGACAGACAGGACCTGAACAAGCAAAGGAGAGAGTAGGGGAAGTCAGGAGAGGAAGTCAGGAGTGGGCAGCATGGGGGGAATGTCAAGTTTGGGCACCGTGGCTGGAGCGTGGGCGGGTTGGTGAGAGGGGCGGGTGCTGTGCTGGCTTGGGTATACTGAAAGTGTGAGTGCTGGACCTAGCCCTGGACCTGGTTTTCTTTTCCACTCTGAGACCAGGGAAGGCACAGTGGGAAGACAGCTTCACTGTGACTTTGAGCAAGCCACCTCCCATCTGTGAGCCTGTTTCACCTTTTCAAAATACCCTCTCTTGGAGTCATAGGGAGGAATAATTATTATGGGTGCTAAAAAAGCCTTGCTGAAGAGCAAAGCCCACACCAGATGTGAGCATTATTCATGTTCATCAGTAATCCATTAGGGAAGCAGGAAGGATTCCTGTCTGTAGCGCCAAGGGAGGGCCAGTGCAGTGGCCTCCCTTACAGCTCTCTTACAGAAGGGCCTTGGTTCCCTGTGGCCACAGCAGGCAACAGAGTCGCAGTTGTTGGGGTCCTGCTCGGGGTGGGGCCATCCCGGGACAGATGCTGCTGGTGGGCTCTCCGGGAGGGGTGGCTCTTGCCTCTCCCTGGGGCACCCTCCTCACCTCCCCGCCTGCCCTGCCACTCTGCTGGCTGCGTGGCTCCAGTCTGACCTTCCCAGCCTCTCCTTGTGTTGGTTTTAGCCAATCCCCGAAGACGAAGACACCACCTCTATCAAACAGCGAAGAACCAGGTAAGAGTCCCGGCAGCAGGTCACTCTGTGGGGGTCACTGAAGCCCACCATGGCTGGATTCCTCGAGGGATTCTAGGACCCCCTGGAGATGGGTCCCTCCCCCAAGAAGCTGCTCATTCATTCGTTCACTCACTCACTCAACAGATCCTTAATTAGTACCTAGGTGAGGGAGATCACTGGGGAAATATTTGGATAAGTTCCTACTGCGTGAAGCTTATATCCTAGGGAGAGGCATGCAGACCACAAAGACAGCTGAAGTGGGTGGGTGCCATGAGGAAAATAGCAGGGTGATGTGAGTCAGGAGGACTGGCGGGGTGGGGAGAGGGCCCCTTGAGCCGAAAGACAGGAGGGGTCCAGCCCTCTGTGGAGCAGTGCTTCCACCTGCCAGGTGTATTGGTGAAGGAGCAGGCAGGCCAGGGTGGCGGGGGCCTTGTGGGTTGGGGACAGCGGTGAGAAATGAGGTGAAACAGGTGGGTGGGGCCAGCTTGTGGTCTCATGCAAAGGGTGTGTGGGTGCACTGGAGGGTTATAAACGGGGTGTGGTGGGACCCCTCTGGCTGCCGCATGGAGAATGGACTGTGGGGATCCAGAGGGGATGAGGGAGACCAGAGAGGAGGGAATGCCTTAGACCAGGGCAGAGGAAGGGGAAGGAAGGTTGGAGGGGAGAGAAGAGGACAGATATCCTCGATGTGCACTGTTCTCTCCCACTAGACTGTAGAGGGTCCCGCGTCCGGGGAGTGTCTGACATGGAGCAGGTACTGCATAGATGTTTGTTACCTGGATGTAGAAGAGGGTGGTGGTGAGGCTCAGGGGAGTCAGCACCTCCCAGGGGCTGACAGTTTTGCTCTCTTATCAGCAGGAGAGCCCAGAGCAGAACCTGGTTTGACCCTGGTACTCACACATCTGCCAGGGCCTCGCGGGGAGAAGGGGTCTCCCCAGATCTCCTGGGCAGCTCCCAGGTAGTGGCCCGGCCCCTCATGCTCTCCTGCCTACTGTCTCCCCTCTCCCAGAGAACATCGGGAAAGCACAAGTTCTCCGCATGCACTCAAGCCAGAACCCAGAGAAGGCGTCAAAGCCAAAGGCAGAGGGCTAAGGAGTTCACTTCCCTCTTCCCGTCTTGCTCAAGAGAAGCCCCTGAGTTCGAAGATTCAACCCCGACCTCCTCGACAGCAATACCTGTTTTCCTATCACATGAAGCCTATTAAAACACTGTCTTCCCCTTGCTGGGTCCTCCTGACTGTCTTCCCCTCAAGAGGACACTTCTGCTCTCCTATCAGCAGGAGGTCTGTGCGTGGGTAGTCTGCTCCAGGAGAGGGGGTGAGCTGTACCAAATCACCCTGACTCCCCTGGAAAAGGCCCCCCACACGGGGCTTCCCAGGTTGTTAGGTTCCAAAAGGGTAGGTATAGATGGGGCTCTGCTCATCCTTGAGCCAAGACTCACAGGGCTCTGGGTAGATTAGAGCAGAGGTCAGGAACTCACAGGCCACTTTAGAAAACTACCCAATGACTGAGTTCCTACCAGGCACTGAGGCAGGACTTGGGTAATAGCCAATGATGAACATTACGTGACTTGTACCTATTTTATATGTGGTACTATATTTGATGCCCTCAAAAGCACTATGAAACAATCACTTCCATTTTATAGATGAATAAACTGAGTGAGGCTCAGAAAGGTGAATTCGCTTCATAATAAGTGAGAACCAGGATCCAAACCCAACGTCGGGTTCTAGAATCCCTGCTCTTATCAGCTGTACTCTGCTGCCGTATAAACAGCAACCCCTCACCGAAAGTTGTGATTACATTCCTAAAAAGCATAGGGTCACCAAAATGGTGGTTGGCACGATCAGGAAGGAAAGGGACAACATATAAATGTGGCCCAGATGCAGCTGCAGTGTCTCTATCCTTGAACATATAGGGAAGATGGCCTTGACCTTCTGGGAAGTCCAGTGTCTCCTTGAGATTTCTGCAAATCGCTGGGAGTGGGGGGCCGGCATTGAGAATTTACAATGTCATGGTCACCTGTGGCTTTGAGCTTCTATCTACTTAGTTCAGTCCATGGATTGTGGTTTCATTCTATATTTAGAGCACTGCCCCGCTCACATCAATTCAGATGACCCTGTTCACACAAAACTTGTGTGCATCAGGCTACAGTCAAGACTGGGGGCTGGATGGGGATTTGCCGTGAATCCAGCAAACAGGTTCATGGTCTGTATTAAATCACCTTGTTTTTAAAAGTCCTTGGCCACTGGGGATGTTTCACTGGTGGCAGCACCTCCTATAACTATACCCCTTGACATCTTGCTGGCTTTCTCCTGTCCTGTCCTCAACCCTGCCACCATTTTGCCCGCACTATTTTTATTTTTTCCAGTTTTTTTCTTGTAAAATATACATAACACAAAATTAACCATTTTAACCACTTCTAATTATGGTTCAATGCCATTAAGTGCATTCACATCGTTGTGCAACTATCACCACCATCCATCTCCAGAACTCTCTTCATCTTGCAAAACTGAAACTCAAACCCATTAATAACTCCTCACTCTCCCCTACCCCCAGTCCCTGGCAATCACCATTCTACTTTCCATCTCCATGAATCTGACTGCTCTAAATAACATCGTATTAGTAGAATACAATCTTACCCATTTGTCCTTTCGTGGCTAGCTTCCTTCACTTAGCATGATGTTTTCAAGGCTTATCCATGTTGCAGCATGTATCAGAATTTCCTCCCACATTTATTAATGGATGCAGCAGCTCAGGTCCTCTAGCCTCTATTCCCAAACCCTCCAGCCCCACCTTGGCCTGTCCAACCTCATCAAAGGGCTGAGCTGAACAAAACTGCTCATAGCACAGGGTCCTGGCCCCTTGACCGTTGTGCCTACAAGAGTATATCCCTCCTCCAATACAAACAATTTTTTTAAATCCACAGTGAAAAATTCTAAGTCACCTGCTTCCAAAATAAATCATACTTCTTGGCACAAAAGCCCTGGATCTTTAGGTAATCCTTCTACCTCACCTTTAATTTTTCAGGAAATATTGCATGAGATTAATATTTGCCACTGAAGATTCTCATACTTGCTTTATTCCCTAGAGTGGACCTCTCTTTTAACTTTCTAAGCCCATCCTTCAGATCTGTTTATTTTGCTTTCTCCATCTCATGTTTGCTTTTGCATCTCTTTGCAAAAATGCTTGTGTCACTGCCTGGCTTTTGCACCCATTGTCACTGCATTTAAAGCCAAGGTGTTCTGGGCTTGGCTTCTTACCTGTGTATCTTGAAGGTAGACTCTGAACAGATGAGATCTTTCTCAGCAGCTCTGCAATCTACTAGGAGGCAGAAAGATAAAGGCACTGAGCCAAACCATGTACACATGAAAACACTGTGGAAACAAACACGTGATGTGCAAATGGGAAATTGCTATGTTGCAGAAACACAGGTACTGAGCTCTGAACCGACCTCAGTCAATGCTCATGGCAACCTGTAAGGTCAATGTAATTATCCACATTTTACAGGTAGAAAATCCAAGGCTTAAAGCCAAAGTAACATCAAAATCCACACAGCCAATAAGCAGTGGATTCAAACCCAGGGCTGTGGGCTCCTCAGTCAGTGCCCTTTACTTTCTGCAGTGCTACCACCCTCCAGGCTCACCCCAAGGCCCACTCGCCTCCAGACAGAGAAATGGACCCTTCTCTTGTTTGCAGCCACTTCACCCTCTCTTCCTCCTCGTTCCTCTTCCCCCAGCTCTTGGATATGGAGCTAGACAGGGTTTGCTCTAACTCCTTAGTCCTCCTCAAAGACCCCCAACAGGTCTGCGTCCTCCCTCCATGTTTTAAGGGAGTCGCTATTAAACCTCAGGGGGATAGCCAGCTGGGGGAATTAGCAGGTGCCAAACATCTCTCAGAGTTGCCACTGGCCTTGCTGAAAATGCAAGTGGTGTTGGGCCTGCCTTCCTTGTCACCTGCCTGGGGCCATCCTGACCTTAGACCCTGTGCAGGCTGAAGCCCAGGCTGGTTACCAGGCTGTGGGTGGCCTTTAGGTCTATTTGGTTTCGTGCTCCCTGTCTGCAGCGGCTTGGCCCCCATTTGGCATCGGGGTGACTTCTTCTGGGTGTCAGGACATCATGGCCACTTCTGGGTCACTCCTAAGTTTTCCTTGGCTCCAGGCTCTGGGATTTCTCTTCTCCTTTCCCTCTGCTTCACTGCCTGAAGCATGAAGATTTTCCCTCCCCTATGGCTCTAGGTCCTCCTTGGGATCCAGTCTCCTTTGTCACTATGGAAGCCACTGTTGGTGTCCCACACCCTCCTTCCAGGTGGGCCTGAAACTTAGCTCCGTCCAACCAGAATGCCCCATCCCTGGGCACAATGACGGGTTCAAGGGCTAGATAAGCATGTGACCCAAAGTGGACCAATCACTGTCTTCCCCTGGGTTTTTTGTGGGAAAAAGAATGCTGGCTTTTGCGACAATACCATCATCGGTGATCACTGCTCGAAGGGACAAAGCCATGGATTCAGTCACACCTGATGCCCCTGATTCTCCTCCATCCTTCCCCATTATATGAGACAATAAAGTTACTTCTTAATAAAACTGTTGATTTTTACGCACTTTTAACATAAAACTTACCATTTTAACCACTGTTACGTGTACAGCTCAGTGATACTAAATACAAGCATATTGCTGGGCTACCATTATCACCCTTTTCATCTTGCAAAACTGAAACTCTATACCCATTAAATGATAACTCCCCATTCTCTCCACCCCTCTAGCCCCTGGCAGCCACCCTTCTACTTTCTGTCCCTATGGATCTGATTATTCTAGGGGCCTCATATAAGTGGGAACATACAATATTTGTCATTTTGTGGCTAGTTTACTTCAATTATCATAGTGTCTTCAAGAATCATCCATGTTGTAGCATGTGTCAGAATTTCCTTCCTTTTTAAGGCTGAAAAGTATTCCAGTGTATGTATATATTCCATTTTGTTTATCCATTCATCCATCGATGAACATTAGGATTGTTTCTCTTTTGGCTACTGTTATACTTCTGCTAAGAACATGAGGATACAGAAGTAGTTGATTTTTCATATCAAAAAAAAAATACTTAGGAATAAATCTGACCAAGGAGGTGAAAAACTTATTGTTGAGAACTATAAAACATCGGTAAAGGAAATTGAAGATGATTCAAAGAAATGGAAGGCTATCCCATGCTTTTGGATTGGAAGGATTCATATTGTTAAAATGGCCATACCACTCAAAGCAATTTACCCAGGACATTTTTCATGGTAGAACAATTAATCCTAAAACTTATATAAAACCATAAAAAATCCAAAATTTCCAAAGTATTCCTGAGGAAAAAGAACAAAGCTGGAATCATAACCCTTCCAGACTTCAGGACAATGCTACAAAACTACAGTAATGAAAACAGTGTGGTATTGGCACAAAAACACACATATGGATCAATGGAACAGAATAGAGAGCTCAGATATAAACCCACACATCTATGGTCAATTAATCTTTGACAAACAAGTCAAGAATATACACAATGGAGAAAACAGTCTCTTCAGCAAGTGGTACTGGGAAAGCAGCACAGCTGCATGTAAATCAATGAAGTTAGAACACTCCCTCACACCATACACAAACTCAAAATGGCTTAAAGGCTTAAATATAAGACATGACACTATAAAACTCCTAGAAGAGAAGAGAGGTAAAAATTGCAGACATTTTTTTTTAGGTCAGTCTCCCAAGGCAATAGACATAAACACAAAAATAAACAAATGGGACCTAATCAAACTTACAAGCTTTTATGCAACAAAGGAAACCCTGAACAAAATGAAAAGACAACCTACAGACTGGGAGAAAATATTTGTAAACGATGTGACTGACAAGGGCTTAATTTTCAAAGTATACAAATAGCTCCTAAACTCAGTAACAAAAAAACAATGCAATCGAGAAATGGGCAGAAGACCTAAACAGGCATTTCTCCAAAGAAGACATACAGATGGCCAATAGGCACAGGAAAAAATGCTCAATATCACTAATTATCAGAGATACAAATTAAAACTAAGATGAGGCATCACCTCACACCAGTCAGAATGGCCATCATTCAAAAGCCTACAAATAACAAAAGCTGGAGAAAGTGCTGAGAAAAGGGAACCCTTTTACACTGTTGGTGGGACTGTTATTTGGTGCATCCACTATGGAAAACAGTATGGAGGTTCCTTAAAAAACTAAAAATAGAGTTACCATATGATCCTGCAATGCCACTCCTGGACATATATCCAGAGAAAACTGAAATTCCAAAAGATAAAGGCACCCTAATGTTCACAGCAGCTCTATTTACAATAGCCAAGACATGAAAGCGACTTAAATGTCCACTGACAGATGAATGGCTAAAGAAAATGTGGTATATATGTACACAATGGAATACTGTTCAGTCATAAAAAAAGACTGAAATAATGCCATTTGCAGCAATGTGGATGGACCTAGAGATTATCATACTAAGTGAAGTAAGGCAGACAAAGACAAATATCACGTATCACTTATAAGCAGAATCTTAAAATAATAACACAAATGAACTTATTTACAAAACAGAAACAGACTCAGACACAGAAAACAAACTTATGGTTACCAAAAGGGAAAGGGAAGGGGAGGGATAAATTAGGAGTTTGGAATTAGCAGATATGAACTACTATATATAAAATAGAAAAACAACAAGGTCCTACTATACAGAGAACTATATTCAATATTCTATAATTCATAATGGAAAATATGAAAAAGAATGTATATATGTATAACTGAATCACTTTGCTGTACACCAGAAACTAACACAACAGTGTAAATCAACTGTACTTCAATTTTTTAAAAAGTAGTTGTTTTTATGTCACATGTGATCAAAAGGATCCTGGGTAATCCAAGGTCATATAGGTAGTAAGTAGAGGCTCCAGAATTAGAATCCACAATCCAGAGTCAGCAGACTCTGGAGTCACCTGAACCCTTCTCATGAACTGCCAGCATGAATTTGTTACAACTGTTCACCCCCTGTACTATCCCTTAATGCTTCTTTAAATTTATCTTTAAAAAATTTTTTCTTTAACTAGTGTTTTCACCTAAGCAATAATATCCATGGGATCATGGTTTTAATGTGTTATTTATAAAAGTTTTTGATAAACATGAAAATAAATATAAATGTTTAAAATGATAACATTCCTCCATGTACCCTCTGGAGTTCATCCTGTACCACCAGAGTACACTCACCACACCTTGGGAAATGCTGACAAGCACAGATGAGAGAACCACGTTTGGGACTTTGGGCTTAAGTACATCATGGGGATCAGCTTCTCCCTGCCCACTTTGCTGGCTCAACAATCACCCCCCTGACCCCACACCACTGAAATTGGTGAGAACAGACTGGATATCCATTTTCAGCAAAGGCAGAGGAAGGCTGGACTCACTGCTAGAGCCTTAGGATCCCACAGTTGAGATGTCCCTTAGAAGCTCTCCAGCACCCTTCCCAGCCCATGGGAAGTTCTCACTGTAGCACCCAGGACATACTGTCCAATTTCAGCTTGGACAACAACAGTGACAGAAATCTCACTACATTTCCTGGCTGCTCAAACCTTAGGTCTGTAACCAGAGCCACAGAGATCAAGTCTTTCCTTCTTCCTCTGGCTGTCTAAGGTTGCCCTTTCCAGAGTTCTTTTATGTCTCAAGCCATACTTCCTATCAAATATTTATACCTTTTAAAGAAAAATTTTAACTGATTGCATTAGCTAATACTTCCAGAGTATAATGTTACATAATAATGATGATAATGGGCATTTAAATATTATTTAATGGGAATGCCTTTTATTTTTCCCCATTAAGCATGAGTTGACTTTGTTTACATATCAAATATATGTAAGCTGAAATATTCACATATTCATAAAGTTAGGTCAAGAAGTATCCTTCCAAACTTATGGTTATGGTGGTGGGGAGTGGGTTGGAAGGGATAAATTGGGAGTTTGAGATTTGCAGATACACACTACTATGTATAACATACATGAACAACAAGTTTCTACTATATTACACAGGGAACTATATTCGCTATCTTGTAGTATCTGATAATGAAAAAGACGATGAAAAAGCATATACGTATGTATATGTGAGGCTGAAATATCATGATGTACACCTGAAATTGTACAACACTGTAAACTGACTATACTTTAATTTTTTAAAAAAAGGAATAAAATAATGCCATGAGCAGCAACATGGATGGACCAGGAGAAAGTCACACTAATAAGCCGGAAAGAGGAAGAAAAAGATCATATGATATCACTTACATGTGGAATCGAAAAAAGAGTACAAATAAACTTATTTACACAACAGAACCTGAAACAGACTCACAGACATAGAAAACAAATTTCTGGTTACCCAGGTTGGGGAAAAAGATGGAAGTGGAGGGACAGACTGGGAGTTCTGGAATTGCAGATACTCACTAGTATATCGAACATAGAGAAATAGCGAGGTCCTACAGCATAGCACAGGGAACTATATTCAATGCTTTTTAATAGTGTATAATTTAAGAAATGTCAATAGGAACATATATAAATATATGTATGTAAGTATGTATAAATGAATCACTATGCTGTACACCAGAAATCAACACAGCATTGTAAACTGCCTATAGTTCAATTAAAACCATAAACGAACAGCATGGTATTGGCATAAAAACAGACATATACATCAAAGGAACACAATGGCGAGCCCAGAAAGAAACCCGCACACCGACGGTCAATTAATCTTCAACGAGCAAGGCAAGAGTGGACCATGGAGCAGAGACAGGCTCTTCAGCAAGTGCTGCTGGGAAAGCTGGACACGCCGTATGGAAATCAATAAAGTCAGAGCACTCCCTCACACCATACTCAAGAAGAAACTCAAACTGGCTTAACGACTTAAACATTAAGACATGACATCATCGAACTCTTGGAGGAAGATAGAGGCAAACATTCTCTGACATCAAACCCGGCAATGTTTCCACAGCTCAGTCTCCCAAGGCAATAGATACCAAAGCAACAATGAACAAGTGGGACCTACGCAAACTTACAAGCTTTTGCTCAGCAAAGGGAACTGTAAACACAAAGACAACCTACGGACTGGCAAAAAACACTTGCAAACGAAGCGACCGACAAGGGCTTAATTTCCAGAATATACAAACAGTTCATACAACTCAATAACAAAAAATACACAACCCATTCAAAAAGTAGGCAGAAGACCTAAAGAGACCTTTCCTCAGTGAAGACATACAAATGGCCAATAGGCCCATCAAATGGTCAATATCACTCACTAAAGAAGAAATGCTCGGTGCCACTAACTACTAGAGAAATGCAAATCAAGATGACAACACGCTATCACCTCACACCGGTCAGAATGGCCATCAGTTAACAGTCCACAGATGATAATTGCTGGGCAGGGTGGACAGAAAAGGGAACCCTCCTTCACTGTTGCTGGGAATGTAGTTAGGTGCAGCCATTATGGAAAACAGTATGGACAGTCCTCAAAACACTAAAAATAGACTTACCACATGATCTAACAACCCCACTCCTGGGCATATATCCAGAGAAAACTCCCATTCAAAGACAGCAGCACTATTTATAGTAGCCAAGACATGGAAACAACCTAAATATCCATCAGATGACTGGATAAAGAAGTTGTGGTATATTTATACAGTGGAATACTATCCAGCCATAAAAAATAAAATAAAATAATGCCATTGCAGCAACATGGATGGACCTGGAAACCGTCATTCTAAGTGAAATATGCCAGAAAGGGAAAGAAAAATATCATATGATACCACGTATACGTGGAATCTAAAAAAAAAAAAAAGACAAACTTATTTGCAAAAAAGAAGCAGACTCTCAGACATAGAGAACAAACTTGTGGTTACTGGAGGGGAGAAGGGTGGGAAGGGATAAATTGGGAGTTTGTGATTTGCAGATACTAACTCATACATATAGAATAGATAAGCAACAAGTTCATGCTGTATAGCACGGAATTATAGTCAATATCTTGTAATAACTTATGGTGAAAAATGTGAAAACGAATATATGTATGTGTATGACTGAAGCATTGTGCTGTACACCAGAAATTGACATAACATTGTAAACTGATAAAAATATATATACAAAAATAAATAAATATATACAATTCTTTTTAAAAAAATCTTGTTTCACTATTTCTAGAGTCCCAGCATTAAGTACTTCTGGGATTCTGTGATTCAACAATTCTGAGATTTCATTATTCCAAGATCCTCTGGCTGTAGGAAAGGAGACCAAAGTCCCCTTTCATGCCCCTGTGAGCTACCACTTGGGCTGAAGGAAGAGAGAATGGGTTATCCCAACTTCACAGCCTCTTAGGGCTGGGACAGGTCATATAAGCATCTCATCATGACCGGCCCTCCGAGGACCCCCCCCCATCCGTTGCACCCTTCCCCCTAACTAACTGAGGGAGCCCCGAAGCGGGCTTTGGTGTTTGCCTCCCAGAAGGTGTTTGGTGGGCGCTGGCAGCCCTGGAAACTCAATCATCATGGTCTTGGCACGACCTGACCCCTGATGTGCTGGCCAAGGAGGACCACACATTCACACTCCCCCTTCAATCACCCGTGGGGGTCCGACACCTCCAGGTGGGTGCTGCCCCACCAGGGTGTCACCCAAAGGTTCCAAGCCTAGAAAAGGTTGGTGGGGGCAAGGGTTCTGAGAAGACCGTGAGGACTCACCTAGGATCTCTGTGTTTGGGTTTCCTGGATGACGGGGTCAGAGTGCAGGTGGTGGAGGGGGCTCTGTAGGCAACGAACAGACGACCTACATCATTCTCTGCTGATGGGTGGGGTAGTGGAGTTGGGGCTCAGGGCTGTGCCCTCCAGGCAACTACCAGAGCTGGCCCTGCACAGCTCCCCAGGCACCTCCAGGCAGAGCCTCCCGAAGCCCTGGCTGCAGCTGAGCAGTTCCCCCACCCCCACCCCAGCCAGGCACAGAGAAGCCCCGCCTCCCGCCCTCGGTGTGTCTCTCCCGCCCCGCCCCCACCACTGCAGCCTCTTCCTCGCTCCGGGTTGAAAACCGACCTAACAAAAGGAGCCACCTTGCTCTGCCATAGTCCACCATGGGACCCTGAGAATGTTTGTACTTCCTCCCTGGGCCTGTCCCCCATCTGTAAAGTCGAGGGTCCAGAACACTTTCAGGTTCCTTCCAAGTCCACAGATGCTCTGGCTCTGACAGGGTACACCTGTGGGCAAGCCTGACTCCAGCTATCCCGAGACAAACGCTTGTCTTGTCAACAACGTTGCCCAAGCGGAAGTGGTTTCTCTACTGAAACCCAGATGTCAGCGTGGGGTTCCTGCTCCCCGAGGTCCTCAACTGGCTAGAATCTCTGCGCAGAGCCTGGTGTCTTCCTCAGTATTTCTGTGGCTTCCTGGAACGTGTGCTCGTGTGTGGCGTGCTGGGGGAGGGGCTGCCTGCTCAGCTCATCCTTCTGCGCCCCTCCCCCCCCAGCTTCCTGGGGCTGTGCTCCCTCCTTTATCTTCTCCTACGCATTCTTTTGTTTTTCTCAATTTCCATCAAAATAAACAAAAATCCTGACTCCTGCAAAGCCCTTAATTTGGGGGGTGGACATTTCCAAAGGACTGAGGGGACAGCAACACCAAAACAATGATTAGCCCTGCTGGCAAACTGCATCCTAAAAAACCTCCAGCCATTCCTCCCAGCTCCTGCTGCCACCCCTGTCTCTCCCCCAACCCCACCCCATCTCCAAAGCCATTTTCTTTCTGCTTTAAGGGCTACAAAGGGCCCCTTCTCCAGCCTCACCTTTTCTAATCAGCAGTGCAGACCTACTTACTGGGTGAGACAAATTCTCCTACTAAGAAGGCAAAAGTGCCTCCTTTCAATGACTTGTTGTTGTTGTTGTTAGTGGTGATTGCTTTATCAAAGCCTCCTGAGAGTTCTTTAATGAGCTTCCCCTAGTTACATTTAGAACAGGATTTAGATTTTTATACATGAATCCCAAAAGATTTTTTTTCCTGCAGCACTATGCTGAGATAAAGCGCAGTCCTGTGATTAGACCCTCAGGGAAGCGGGAGATATGTTAACCCCCAACCTGGTGGAAGCCTGTTGCCAGCCTGGAGGTGCCCGGCGTAGGTGAGAAGGTTGAGGGGCCACTGGAGGGATGCCCTTCCCTAGAACAGGGAATTGGGACCTGCGCACCCTGGGGCCCCAGCCCTCTTGAAACTGGGTGTGGGGCTGCCCCCAACATCCCCTGTCCCTGGCTGCCTGGCTCCAGCCACCCCAGCAGAGGATGCCCCAGTGCTCCTGGCTTTGGGAGCCTAGTGCGGGCCCTGCGAGGAAGGATGTCCCCTTGGGGGAGTTGCCTGGAGGAGCTCTAAGTGCAGGGAGGGCTCCAGGGGGTGGGCTTGTGAGGGGTCCTGGGGAGCTGGAGGGGCTGCAGGCCAGAGGCATCTCCTCCTCTCACAGCAAACATCCCTTGCTAGCCTCCAGCTGGTCCAGGGAACTTGGCCAAGTCCCTTCACTCAATTGGCCTCCTAGGGGCAGGGTCCCAATGCTCTGGGGCTGAACCCCGACCCGGGTTCCCATGCCAGCTCTGGATGCCTTCTTTGCGCAGGTCCCTTTATTCTCAGTGAATCAGTGTCCACGTCTGTAAAGTGGAAGAATAAAACAGAGAATGAGATTATTTAGTGAAAGCACCTTGCAAGCTGGCCCGCTGCTAGTGTCAGACCCACGTACAGTAATAGCAGAAAATATCAACCCAGGTTCCTGGTTCAGAGCTCCGCCCAGTATTCAGTTCTCTGTGGCTCTGACCTTCTGTCCCTCTGCCCATGGCATTCCAGGTGAGAAATCCTTGAACCCTCCCAGTTCCCACAGTATAAAGATTTCTGGGTCTCCTGCAGACAGAGACTTGAGGGCTCACTGCCCCTTGCCCCAAACTCTGCCCCTCACGTAGACCCGGGTGCAGAATTTGGCTCCTGCACAAATCATTAGGCGGAATCCAGTCATAATAGGAATTTGGGATTTCTGGAGATTTTGCAGTTGTGTGGGTCCTAGGGAAGAGCTGAGCTGTTAGCCCCTGACATGCTACCACTGGGCTGCCCCCCCACCCCCGCCTCTCTCTCAGCTCTCACAGAAGCCCCCAGATATTACTTTCCCTTACAAAGAGCTGTTCCCAGCCTTTGGCAGTCTTCAGACTAGGGGATCCTTGCCTTGAATCGGCATCCCCCCAAGGGGCAATACCAAGGGTACCTCCCTTCACCCAACTGTCCAGAGACAGGTGAACAACTCCCCCAGCTCCCTTTGCCCGGGATGGGCACCCACCCAGCATCCCCACATGGCTGAAAGCCTCTCACCTGTGCCCTCCTTCTACCCTCTCAGCCTCTACAAGGTGACCTTGCCCACACCCACCCCTACCCCCACCCCTAGCCCCAACCCTGCTTGGTGGACGCAGCCATCTCTGCTTAGTCTCCCTGGCTGCACATGGAGTTCCTGGTCTTCAGCAGCCCAGAGCAGGACAGCCTGCTGGAGATGTTCCTGTCCCCTTGGCCATCCCCAGACCCACTTCCTCTGCTGCACAGAACCCTCACCAACACTCTCCACTTGGGAGCCTGTGGGAATAGCTGGCGGAGGAAGGAATGAGGATGGTAATGTGAAGGAAAAGCCGGGCTGGGCCTACTCGCAAATCTAAGTGTAACAAGTGTCGGTTTGCTGATTCCCTGTTCATGTTTTTCTTTTTTTTTTTTTGCTGGCCAGCTGGATTTTCAAAGACACATATCTGGCCTTGAAATGTTGATCTGCTGCCTCCCTGCTTCCACTTTTGTGATAATGATGCTGCTAAAGCTGTTCCATGCTTATTGGCCAAATACCCCAAGGTTGTAACTAACCCTATAAAACCTCATGCACATGTCCTGGAGGTGCTCAGAGCTTCGGAGCAGAAGCCCCTCTGAGTCCGTCGGCATAATAAATCTGAGTACTCCGACCCTCTGAGTGGTGCTTGTTTCTTGGCTGGCCTGTCATTTCCATAACAGTAATGGCAGCTAACATGTAGCACTTACCATGTGCACACACGGTCCTAAGGGATTTGCATGTATCACAAATGTGCATGCAATCTGTGCAGAAATAAACCACTGGATCCTCATACGAACCCTGTGAAATATGTATTATTATTATCCCCATTTTATAGATGAAGAAACTGAGGCTCAGAGAGGTTAAATAACTTGCCAAAGATCACACAGTGAGTGGAGTCAGCAAAGGAACACAGGCAGTCTAGTCTGTTTTTTACCTGAGGCTCCTGAAGCCATACCCCTAGGTCTCCCTTACCTGGGCCTCTGCTCCTCCCCCCTGTATGGAGAACACATGGAGCTTCAATGGGACAGAGAGTGGGAAACCACAGGCCTGAGAGGAGACTTGAGATCTGGCAGGAACATACTGCATGACCATTGGCAAATCTTGACTCCTAGCCTGGACCCTGCCACCATTGATTTGGTTTGGGAATAGTCATTTGCTCTCTCTGGGCCTCAGTTTCCCCATTTGCAGAGGAGATCAGACATTTCTACACATTCTCCTGCTGCTAATCTTGTATGAGCTGAAGGTGTTAAGAACCCTTTTACTGATTCAGCCAGTCATAGGCTCCTCCAAGGAGATGGTGCCTCCAGCTACAAGACCCAGTGGGCTCCCTGCCCCCTCCCCTGGCTGCCAGCTGCCTCCTGGTTTCCAGTGCCCAGCCCCCAGGGAGAATCTAGGGAGCCCTGTGGGACCCAGAAGGCAGGCAGAGAATGTACCATATCTGTGCATCTCTGTTTATTTACCCTGCAAATGCTGCAATTATTGAGAGCAAATCCTGCCCTCATGGGGCTCTTGGTCTGGGCAGCAGACAGGCCTTATTCAGTAACCATGGAGATCAATTCACACCAAGTTCTCTGAAGCGGAGGTTGAAGGAACATCCCCTGAGGAAGACCAGCAGGGCCTCGGCAATCATGGGAAGGATTTTGGTCTTCTCCCTAAAGGCAATAGAAGTCACTGAATGGCTTTTGGCAGCCCCTAGCCCAACTCCCCAATCTCCCCACAGGTCTTTTTAATATTATTATTCATCATCAGATTTTTTAGGAACAATTATCATCCCTCACTTGCTAAGCAATTTTATAGACACTGCCTCCTTTGCTCTAAACCAATCTTGTGAATTGTTACATGATCTCATTTTTCAAACAAGGGAGCTGAGGCTGGAAGGGAGGTGGTGGCTGGGCAGGTGCACGCGGCACTGAGAGCTGGTGTAGAGCCAGAGCTCCTGCCTCCCTGAGCTTGTCCCTGGACTCTAAGCATGGGTGGGGCGCCTTCCTCCCTCCACTTCTCTGGAGAGGACGAGGCACTGCCAAGCCCTGGAGGTCACCCCTTCCCAGGGAGGCCTGGCAGCAGGAACAGACCCTTGGCCTAGGAGAGGAGGGTTCGGACTGGGTGCCTCTGCCTGTCCTTAAAAGTTCCTTCCAGCATTGTGCAGCCAGGAGTCCCAGGGGCCTCCACTGAAGACTTTTGGGAGTCAGGGACTAGAGAGAAAGTTACGAATAAGAAAAGAATCATGCCTCCTATGAGCAGCCTACAGCCTAGGTAGGCAGAGACACAGCATTCAGCACCTCAAGGAGTGATCAGCCCTTCTGATAGGTAAGAACTATGCCCATTTTACAGATGAGACTCTAAGGCTCAGAGAGATAAAATAACTTTCCCAGTTCCACCAAGGTGATAAATGGTGATGCCAGGAATCAAAAGAATCCCTGTCCAACTGGGTGAGGGGAGCGATATTTTCACCAGGAACACAGTACAGTGTGTTCTCAGAGATCTTGGGTGACGGGGTCTCCCATTACCTTGGTTATGTGATTAAATTTTTTTTTACTGAGATGTAATTTGCATACAAAAAACTTCACCGTCAAATGTGACAAATGTGTGCAACCGTCA